TGTCTGTCTCTCCAGCACCCTGTACCTGTCTTCACCTCTGTGTCTCTCTACCTGTCTCTCTCATCTTGTCTCTGAGCCCACCTGCGGCTTCCTCTCCTGCACAGCCCCAGCCCCTCCCCCCAGTCCTGTGCCAAAGCCACCCCCTTAGCCCTCCTCTGCACCATCCCTGACCCTGCCGCCCCCCTGCAGGCTCCTGGGGGACTCGCATCATCGGGGGACGCGAGGTGGCCCCCCACTCCCGGCCCTACATGGCCTCTGTGCGCTTTGAAGGCCAGCACTTCTGTGGGGGCTTCCTGCTTCATGCCCGTTGGGTGGTCTCAGCTGCCCACTGCTTCAGCGACAGGTGAGCACATGTGGCCAGGCGGGACACGTGGCTAACCGGGACACGTGGTCTGCTGGGACACGTGGTCAGCCAGGACACGTGGGTGCACTGCAGGGGCCACACATGCGTGAAGCTAGACTCCAGCCAGTGAGGGGTGGGGACATGTGAGGGGACGGGGCTGACCCCCCACACCCTGGAGGCTCCACGGGGCCGGTTCCTCAGGCGCACAGGAGAGATGTGCTGGAAGAAGAAATGACGTGACAAAACTTAAGGCTGTAATAATTATTATAATCGTTCTTTTAATTGTAATTTTTATTGCAGTTAGTTTGCAATTATTGCTGTTAATACAATAATCAAAGTGGGGATGGTGATAAAGATAGTAAGTGTTATATTTGTTCCAAGTGTATTTTAAAAACAATGTTGCACTCTGGTTGATGTAAGGAGCTCTGGTGGTGCAGTGGTTAAGGCATCTGGCTGCTAACCACAAGGTTGGTGGTTCGAGCCCAGCAGCTGCTCCTTGGAAGAAAGCTGAGGCAGGCTGCTTCTGTGATGATTGACAGCCTTGGAAACCCAGTGGGGGCCGCTATGAGTCAGAATGGACTCATGGCAGTGAGTATGGTTTACATTGTTGATGTGGGAATTCAGGTGGGAACAGTAAGGTAAGAACCACTGCTGTGAGTGGCCCTCCAGGTGACCCCTCCTGGAAACCCCACGTGTGGAGCAGAAGTGTTCTACAGGGTTTGCAAGGCTGTGACCTTTCCATACCAGGTCACCAGGCTGTCTCCTGAGACCTCTCTGGAGGGTTTGAATCGCCAACCTTCTGGCCAGAAGTCCAGTACTTAACCATTGGCGCCACCCAGTGGGACCATTAATTATTGTATTTTTTCTAAATATATTTTCATAATAATATTGTGACTCTTGTCATTAATACTGTAATTGAGGTGGGCATGCCAATAGATATATTAAGTGTTATATTCATTCTAAGCACATTTTAAGGCACTCGGGAGTTCTGGTGGCATAGTGCCTAAAGCACTTGACTGCTAACCAGAAGGCTGACGCTTCAAACCCACTAGCCACTCCTCAGAAGAAGGCTGGTCAATCTACTTCTGTGAAGATGCCCCTCAGAAACCCAAGGCGGGGTCACTATGAATCGGGACTGACTCGATGGCAGGGAGGTTGTTTTTTTTCTGGTGGCACATCGATTAAGCACTCAACGGTTCAAACGCACCCAGTAGCAGCTCCACGGGAGAAAAGACGTGGCTGCCCCTTCCCACAATGATGGCAGATGAAACGCTTCTGTGGCAGTTCCCTCTGTCACATGGGGTCGTTGTGACTCAGGATCCATTCCGCGGCCCCCACCAGCAGCCAGAACAAGCATATTTTCGATAATGCCATTGCAACTGTCACCATCAATGCTGCAATGAGGGACGAATGGTGACAAGTGTAATTATTCATTATAGTTTATAATATTCATTATATTTCATAACAATATTGTAACAATTGTCGTTAATATTACAATGGCAGTGGGAATGGTGTTCATTATAAGATTACATTTGTTCTAAGTATATGTTTATAACAATTAGGAATATTAATCTTGCAATCATTGTCACGAGTGTCATGGGTGGGTGGTGACAAACAGAAGTATTAGCGTGGAACTGGCATGAGGATGAAATGGGCTGCTGCACCCCCATTTTGCAGATGGGGAGACTGAGCCCTGTGACCAGGCAGCCCTCCTCCAGTCCTGCTCCTCCTTCACCCTCTGTAGGGACCCCCTCTCGGGCCTGGTGGTGCTAGGGGCCCACGACCTTCGAATCGCTGAGCCCACACAGCAGGTGTTCCGCATCGAGGAGGCCTTCAGACACCCCGACTACCAGCCGTCCACGCACGCCAATGACATCTGCCTGCTGAAGGCGAGCCATGGGGGGAGGGCTGGCAGGCCCCACACACAGGGCTGGTGGGCATGTTACAAACAGCAGGAGGGATGCTGGGAGTCAGGGTACATCCCTCCTCTGCCCAGAACCCTCCATGGCCCCTACCTCCTCTAGGACAGAAGCCCAGGTCCCCCTGCTCCCCAAGGGCACTGCTCTTCCGTAATCCCGACACCAGGGCCTCCTGCTCTGGTTTACAGAGCCAACCCATGTACAGATGGGAAAACTGAGGCAAGGGGGGCCACGAAGTGACTACCGAAGCCATCCATTCCCCCACCACTGACCAGCCTCCCACTGTATGCACAGCACTGGGGACAAGCGGGCCCCATGCCAGAGCCCATCTAGCCCTCAGTCTAACCGAGGGCTGCTCAGTAAACCGGCCTTGACAGGGGCTCACTGGGGCCCCAAGGAGCCCATCCCAGCCTGGGAGTCTAGGCGGGCTTCCTGGAGGGGGTGACATTTAAATTGAGACCCGAAGGTTGAATAGGAGTTCCAGGCAGGGGTTAGCAGGTGAGTGGAGCATCAGTCGATTCCTTCTAGGGCCCTTGGGGGCTTGAATGGTGGGCAGAGAGGTTCAGGTTTTACCCTGAGGGCGATGGAGCCACAGAGCAGGGGAGGAGATGGGATTAGAAAGATTCTTGGCATAGCTGAGAAGGTGATACTGGAGGCCTGGGGAGGCCAAAGGTCAGGTCCAGGGAGGTAAGGCCTGGTGGGGGGGAGGCTGAAGGAGGAGGGGCTTCTGGGTTTGGTGATGGCTCTGTCAGAGTGTCACAGATGGGTAAACTGAGGAGGCAGGAGCAGCTGGGTGGTGGTGCAGGAGAGCTACAGTGAAGCCTCTCTCTGCAGCTGAATGGCTCAGCCGTCCTGGGCCACGAGGTGGGGCTCCTGAAGCTGCCGCGGAAGGGCGCCAGGGTGCCCAAGGCTGGGGCATGGTGCCAAGTAGCCGGCTGGGGCTCCGTGTCGGACTTCCAGGACGCGCCCCCCGGGCTGATGGAGGCCAAGGTCCGCGTGCTGGGCCTGGACGTCTGCAACAGCTCCTGGAGCGGCCAGCTGCGCCCAGCCATGCTCTGCACTCACAGTGGGGACCGCCGGCGGCGCGGTTTCTGCTCGGTAAGATACTCGCTCCCCACCCTATCTGCTTACCGTACGGGGAAACCGAGGTAAGTCCTCAGGAACTGAGTCCCACCTGTGGCCAGAGGAAGAAACCGAGGCGCGGGGACGGTAGAGAGGTGAGGAAGGTCGCGGGGCTGCGGTGCACGCGGGTGCAGGCGCCGCCCTGCACGAAGCATGGCTGACTTGTATTTATACAAGCACCATCCAGCAGGGGGCAGTGGCAGGTCTCGAGAAAGCTGCTGTTGCTAAGACTCCGTGTGGACTAATAGCCTCCCTGTCGGCCAGGGAGTCGCCTCTTTCAGACAGGAGAGTGCAGTGGCTCGGAACACGGAGGCCTCTGTGAGGCGAGCAGTTTTGAGCTGAGATCTGAAAGAGCCTCTGAGGGAAGGGCGTGCCAGGCAGAGACCCAGGCTGGCAGGGCTGCGGTGTATGCGGGTGCAGGCCCCGCCCCGCACGAAGCACGGCTGCCTGTGAAGTTAAACACGCACCGTCCAGTAGGGGGCAGTAAAAAGAAAAAAAAACTCACTGCCATCGAGTAATTCTAACTTATAGCGACCCCCACTGAGTTTCCAAGGCTATAAATCTTTAGGCAAGCAGACTGGCTCATCGTTCGCCTGCAGAATGGCTGGTGGGTTCGAACCACCGACCTTCTGGTTAGCAGCCCAAAGGCCTTAATCACAACAGCACCAGCGCTCTTTAACAGGGCTCAAGGATATGGAAATGCTCCCAGGATTTTGAGTTTGCCCCAGGAACAGCGAGCCGTTGGTGGCTGAAGTTGAATGTGCCAGGGGTAGAGGAGGTGGAGAGGCCGGGGGTGGGTGGGGGTGGATCCTTAGGGCCTTGAAGGCCGAGGTGAGTTTAGTCTTTGCCTAAAGAGCCCTAGAGAACCACTGGAAAGGTTTGGAGGCAGGCAACGTCCTGATCGGATTCACAGCAGAAGACCCTCGGCCCCTCACACTGCCCTTCCCTCCACCCCCAGGCAGACTCCGGGGGGCCCTTGGTGTGTGGGAGCAGGGCCCATGGCCTGGTCTCCTTCTCCGGTTTATGGTGTGGAGACCCCAAGTACCCCGACGTGTACACACAGCTGTCTGCCTTCGTGCCTTGGATCTGGGGCGTGGTCCGCCACCACCACAGCACCGTCTAGGACCCCTGGGCCCCTTCAGCTACTGCTTGAGTCACAGCCTTGCTGGGCATTCACATGAGACGGCGGAGTACCCACATCAGCTCCCAGCCGGGGATATTCCATGGCTGGGGCGGGGGGCTATGGGCACCCCAAAACCCATGAAGCCTTTTGGGGGAGGGGGCGTCAGTTCCAAACCATGAGAAGTGTCTGAAGGAACAGAATAAAATGTTAACTGAGAAAGCAGCTGCCTGCAGCCCCAGGGGCCACCCCATCCTTCGGTCACACCTTCTCCTCCCATCCTTGTCTCCTGCCCACCTCCTCCCACATCCTCGCCCCGTTGTTTCCCGTATCAACCCAGAGCCCCCAGACTCCAGCCATATGGTCTGGACTGTCAGGCCCGCTCCCTCTCCACTGGCCCAGACTGACCCGAGGCCAACGCGTCAGGCTGACTCTGGCCAGCCTCTAAGGCACCTGCTGCCTCCAGGCGTCTGCACCTGCTGTTCTACCTTTGGAATGCTGTTCCTCCCCCTCCAGTCAACTGTGTACACCTGTGCACAGATGGGAGCCCCACAGCAGAGTCTGGCAATGGGTAGGGAACTCCTGCCTCAAGTCCCCCCGTGGTGGGAGGGACTACTAGGACACCAAGTGGAGTCTCTGTGCCCAGTGTGGGATCTAGAGCTGCCCTGGGTTCAAATCAAGACATTGTTTCCCTTATGCTCAGGAGGAACCTGTACATAGACCAGCAGCAGTTGTTTGAAGAGAACAAGGGGATAACGTGTTGTTTAATATCAGGCAGGGAGTGCGTCAGGGTTGTACCCTTTCACCATGCTTATTCATTCTGTATGCTGAGCACATAATCAGAGAAGCTGGACTATATGAAGAAGAATGTGACATTAGGATTGGAGGAAGATTCATTAACAATCTGCAAAATGCAGACGACACAACCTTGCTTGCTGAAAGCAAAGAGGACTCAAAACACTTACTGATGAAGATCAAAGACTGCAGTCTTCTGTATGGATTACACCTCAACATATTTTAAACATTAAAATCCTCACAACTGGACCGATACACATCATGATAAATGGAGCAAAGACTGAAGTTCTCAGGGACTTTCTTACTTGGATCCACAACCAATGCCCATGGAAGCAGCAGTCAAGAAATCAGACGTCATACTGCACCGGCCAGGTGTGCTGCAAAAGACTTCTTTAGAGTGTTAAGAAGCAAAGGTGTCTCTTTGAAGACTAATGTTTTCCTAACTCAAGCCATGGTATTTTCAATAGCCTCCTATGCATGTGAGAGAGAGCTGGACAATGACTAAGGAAGACCAAAGAAGAGGTGATGCTTTTGAGTTGTGGTGCTGGCGAATGCTGAAAGTCCCGTGGCCCGCCAGAAGAACGAATGCTGCACCTACAACTCCGTCTTTCATTCCTTGGTCATGCTGTGGGAAGGGGCCATTGCCTGGAGAAGGACATCATGCTTCATAAAGTGGAGGGTCAGCGACAAATGGGGAAGGGCTCAACAAGATGGACTGACACAGTGGCTGCAGTGGCGGGCTCAGGCACAGCCACGATTGCAAGGCTGGTGCGGGACCGGGCAGCGTTCTGTTCTGAGTACAGAGGGTCTCCACCGCACTCTCGGCACCGTATGTGTCTGGGTGTGAGCTACATTTACTGCATCAGAAACCCATTGGAATGGGTTGCTGTGAGTCGGAATCGAGTCAGTGGCAGTGGGTTTTGGTATACATATGTGTGTGTGTATAGATACACAAAAAAACAAACCCAGTGCCTTCGACTCATAGAGACCCCCAATGGGTTTCCGAGGCGTTATCTCTACAGAAGTAGATTGCAGGCTTGCTTCCGCAGAGTGGCTGGTGGGTTTGAACTGCCAGCCTTCTGGCTAACAATCAAGTGCCATAGGCCCTGCGCCACCAGAGCTCCCATGTATGTGTTGTTGTTATGTGCCATCGAGTTGGACCTGACTCAGCTCTCCTTGGGCTTCCGAGGCTGTATCACTACAGAAGTAGATTGCCCAGTCTTCCTTCCGAGGAGTAGCTGGTGGGTTTGAACTGCCAGCCTTCTGGTCAGCAGTCATGTGCCTTAGGCCCTGCGCCCCCAGAGCTCCCAGGATATATACATCTCACGTATCTATTGCTTCCTTCTTTGGCAAGTGCTTAGAAGAGCCCTAGCACACAGAAGCCAGCTGGTGATTGGTTCCCATTGTTATTTACGACACACACACCCCATTCTTCAGTCCTGGGCCCCCATTCCTGAGCCCCAGACCAGGTGGCTCCTTGGGGTTACTTCAAGCCATCTTGATCTCCCTTCCCTCCCTCACCCCTTGAAAGCTTCTTTCCTCTGCCACCCTTCCCTCCCCACCAGTTGCTGCCTGCTGCCCACTGCCCAGAGGGAGACACTGCAGCCCAAAGAGGGGCAGTGGCTGCCCAAGGCCCTACCCCCTGGATGCCTGCAGACCCCTACCACCACGCCAGGACAATGTGTAGGACACCCTTAGCCAAAGGGCAGTGGTCCAGAGGTTGAGAGAGAGAAGGCAAACCGGGGCCTGGACCCTCTAAACTTCGTTTTACAGTCTTTATTTCTTTGGTGAGGCAGGACCCCAGGGTGGGGGGTGGTGCCTTGTTGGGGGACTTGGGTGAGCCCCCCAGCTCCAGGCCACTTTCTGGACACCACAGAGTAAGGCACTTCAGGGGACTGCAGGGACGTGGGCAACACAGTCCCCCACGCCCCTCACTTCTTCCCCACGAGACCCCAACCCCCTTTTCTGGTCTGAGCCTCTGGTCTACAAGAAGGCACAGAAGGCAGGATCAGGTTTCGCTCCGACTTAGGGGCTGCGGAAATTGGGCCTGGAAATCTGATCAGAGCCGGCTGCACAGACCCCGTCTGGACCCTGGCCCCGCGGAGGGGCAGCCGGCACTAGCAGCCCTGCTGTGATCCGGCTGGGTGACACTGCGTGCACACACCCCATCCTGGGCCAGGGCTGAGGAAGGGCTCGTGGTCCCTCTGGGCCCCACCCTACGACGCGGTGTCCCTGCCGTGATCTGGGAAGCGGTGTCCCTGCCGTGATCTGGGAAGCCCGACCTGTTATCACAGCCCTTTGTGAAAGTGGCCAAGGAGATGTCCGTGGCTTTCTGCAGCCACGCCCCAGGCCTGCCGGCGTCAGAAGACGACTGTCTGTGCCCCTCCCAGGGGGCTTGGTTGAATGTAATGGGGACTGAGGCAGCCTGGCAGGTGAGAATCTGGAACTGGGCTGCTGGGGTCCCTGCCTCCTCTTCGCGGACCTGGCTCTAGGGGTGGCTCCCCGCCCCCCGCTGGGCCGAAAGGCCCTCTTAGAAGGTCTGGGGCGGGGACAGGAAGGAGCGTCTTCTGTACTCATGCGGGGAATTTCCAGCCCTCCAGGAAGTGGAGGTCATTAATCTGGGTTCCCCCAGGGGGCACTGGGATCTTCTAAGTATGGGGTTCTCCAGGGCCGAAAGGAGCCTCGGGAGGGGCGGGGCTTCCTAGAGAAGTAGCTTAAAGCCTTGACTCAGTACCCCCAGCTGAGCCCCACCCCACCGACCGGCCTTGCCGCCAGGCCGCCTTCCAAGATGACATGGAGGAGGGGCTTCGCCCCGGAGCATAAATTAGACTCTGCTGTGGCAATAAATAAAAGGGGGTAGGCCTCAAACGCCAGGCCAGGCCTGCCCCGCGGGCGCTCACACGAAGTTCTCCTCGTCTGATTCAGCATCTGACGGCTGGGAGGTGCCTGAAAGAGAGAGAAGTCGGGCGGGGCGCCAGCAGCAGGTGCCGTGCCTAGACCCCGCTGGACGCCCTCGGCCCCCCTCACAGGCCTGAGCAGCTCAGACCCCGGGTCTGTGAGCCCCGCCGCAGGCACACCTGTGCAGCTGCCTGGGTGACGCACGCCGATGGAGCGGCCTAAGAAGCAGGTGGCCTGGCGGAGGTGGCACGAGGAGACGTAGGTGACGTTGTTGTTACCGCAAAGCTCCTGACCGGGGCTGGAAGGCACTGGGCAGGGCGCTGAGCGGCACACCACGCAGTGGGCGCTGCCAGTCTGGTCCACCACGCACGACTGCGGCCGCGGGCAGACCACGTGCGCGCACGACTCTGCGGAATGAGCAGACCGATCAAGGCGCCAAGCCAGACCGCCGCGCTCACCAGTCCGGACCCCCAGGACTCCAACCCTTCGGATTCCATCCACAAGCCCCGCCCCAAACGCATGCCCCGCCCCGTATCCGCCCACTCCTCAGGCTCCGCCCCCAGCCCGGCCTACTTACTGCGGCAACGGCCTAAGTACATGACGCGCAGGTCCGGGTGGCCTCGACAGCGCGCGGCACGCAGCTCGCACTCGTCCCGATAGGTGGCGCCGTCTGAGCCGCAGACCTGCAGGTGCGCCGGGAGCCCCGTGCAGTCTGGGGCGCACTCGCAGCGCGGGCGGCCCTCGAGCATGCGGCACGCCTTGCCCGGGCCGCACTCCACGCCCTCGCACGAATCTGCGGACACACGCACGACAAGCCGCGTGGGCGGGGCCGCGGGAAGGTCCTCCAGCCCCACGGCGCTCTCACTCCCCGGAGTTAGGGCGCTGTCCAGGGTCAAAGTCTGTCCGCGGCGGTGGGACAGGGTCAGGGTCGGCTGGATGCGAGGGTGGACCTAGAGTCGGGTCTGTGCCTGGGGATGAGGGACTCTGCCCGGAGTCTCGGGGTCCAGGGACAGCCTATGGCTCTACAAACCCCTGCTCCCGCTCCCCCTCCGCGCTGGGCCACCCCGCTCGGGCTGACGTCTGTTGCCTGATTTACGCGCGTTTCTGGGAAGGCCGGCGGGGGGCCCGGCTGCGTCAGCCCCGGGGGGCTCCGCCCCGTCCAGGCGCGGGTCTTAGGAGGACGGCGGCGGCTGTTCGCTGTGGCTGCCAGGACCTCACTGGAGGCGGCGTCGGTGAGGCGGGGCGCAGGCCCCTCGGCCACCAGCCTGGGCGCATCTGTTCCGGGAGTGCTTCCCATAGCCCCAGCCCCTCTTAACCAGAGTCTTCCGTCCTGAGAACCATTTCTCAGGTGGGGAAACTAAAGCTCGGTAAGGAGAAGCCTCTCTCTGGGGTTCTGGCCCCTACTTGCAATGCAAATCCTTTCGAAATGCAGACCTGCCCACTAATGCGGTCATTGTTCCCACTATATAGACGCAGCAACTGAGGTCACCCTTCAATGCTGTGCCCAAAGGGCACCCACAACATGGGTGCTCCGTCCCAGAGCCCTCAGTTCTATTGTTTGCGTCTGGAACACAGCTCAGCCTGCATCCCGGCCTCAACTTCTCCCCCATATGTAAAGTGGGGCTGTTGAGGGGAGCTGGACATAAAATGAGGGCACAGTGGCCAGTGCCACTGCCTGCACGGCGTTCCGGCCCCCCACGTTGTCACCCCTGCCTGGGCATGTGGCCCACACCTGTGCCCTCCCACTCTGCCCGGCCACCCGCCCACACCCACATCTGGAAACGCTCCGTCCGGGCCTCACGCAAGCAAGAACGGAAGTGGGGGGGCCAGTGGGGCCAGATGAGGTTTTGGGGGGGATGTCTTGGGCATGTGTGCCCAAGACAAGCACTTTTTGAAGTCTTTCCTCCTCCCCAAAGCCAGAGCAGGGTCTGAAGGGAGCCAGGGCAGTGCATTCCGGACCACCTGGCCAGGCTCACCCTGGGCTTAATTCTGGCCCAGCCAACCTTCAGGTCTACAGCTCAGCCTGCTCCCTGCCCCCTGCTCCTTGCCTGGGCCCCACCCAACTCTATGGTCTCGGCTGATACTCTTCCCCCATTAACTTCTCCAGAGGATAAACTCCTAATCATCCTCCAATACCCCGACTGTTATGCCCACCTACTTCAAGCCGTGCCCTAGTGACTCCTCTGGGCCTCTGTATGTTCAGGGTCCCCCAACCCTTGGGGGCAGACAGTATGTCTTGACTCATTCATTCATTCATTCTGCCCTCAAGGAGCTCCCAGTCTGCTGGGGGAAGCAGTATTTCTCAGAACACTCTTCAGAAGGCACATGCCTGTTCAGCAGACCCCTGGAATCAGTCAGGAAAGCCCACCTCCCAGGAGTTAGGCATGAACCGGAGTACATCTCCACCCGATGAGTGCAGGTGGGAAGGGTCATCCTAGAGGCTGGAAACCAAGTCCTGAAAGCACCTTCTTAAACCTTCAGAAACTTAAACTGGCCAGTGTCACCTAACCTGGAAGTGCCCACAGCACCAGGTGAGGCTAGGCCCCCTCTCCCACCTCCTGGCTGGGCAGCCTCGCCCTCGCCCTCGTCCTGCACACCCCTGTGGTGGGGAGCTCCCTCCCTGCCATCCACCCTCCCCCACAGCGACAGCTGTGCTGGTACCGGCCGCCCGCGCTCACCTGCCCGCACCTTGCCGACCCCGGGTCTCACCTTTGCAGGGCAGGCAGTGCACCAGGCCCAGGAACCCCAGCAGGCTGACCTTGTTCCCTGGGTAGGTGAAGTTGGACCAGGCAGTGTCGACGCTGCCGGAGGCACAGCAGTCCTCCTGGCTTACATCCGTCCGCAGCACCAGGCTGCAGGTGGCCTCTCGGCCCTGCTGGAGCCAGCAGACGCCACCGCCACCTGCAGATGGAGGACAGGGGCTGTTCCCACAGGAGCAGGAGGCGCTGCCTGTATCCTCCCACCTGGCCCCTCTGGATCCTCAAGCCTTGAGCTTCTGCCCGTCTCTGGCCTCGGGCTGCACGGGGCCGGTGCCCCGTCATTTCAGAAGGGGGTGAGCTGCCCCCAACAGGAAGGAGGGGCAGGGTGTGCAGCTGCCCCACCCCAGCGTAACTGGGGGATCCCCGCTCCTGAGCCCCGCTGCCAGTTCCCGCCCATCCCCCAAACCTCCCCCTCTTTCCTCCAGGTCCCTCAGGCCAGAGCCTGGGGCCTCCCACCCAGGCAGAGCAGGGACTAGCAGGCAGGGTCAGTGGCTCCCGCCTCTCACGCCTCTGCCCTCTGTCTAGACAGCACCCGAGGGCCCCGGCGCCCCCCTCGCCTGCAGCCCCCCCTCGCCCAGCCCGCCTCTTACTCACTCCAACTAGGGAACATTCTCCTCGCATGAGCTCACCGTCTCCCTGGGGACACGGCCTTCGGGGAGGGGGCTCTGCTCTTGGCGAAGGGCTGGGCTGGGGCTGCCAGGCCAGAGGTGGGGGCAGGTGGCCCTCCGGGTCCCCCTTCAGCGGGGGCAGGAATAGCCGCGGCCCCCACCTCCAGCGCTCCCTGGCTCCCAAGCACTAGCTGAGCACCTTCCAGGACCAGCTCCGGGAGCTCAGCCCCACGGCACCCATTTCACAAAAGGGGAAACTGAGGCAGGGAGTGGGATGTCACGTGTTCAGCAGCCCCCGGCAAGTGGCAGGTGTGATCTTCCAACCCCCCAGCCTGCTGAAGCCAGACCCTGGAAGACCTGAGGCCCCAGCCACAGGCCCAGAGTCCAGCCACCCGGCACTGCATCCGGACCGGATCATCCAGGTTAGGATCACGCCCGTGAACCTGAACCTGTTTCCCATCTATGAGGATTAGTGACTACCCAAGTACTTGAATGTGGATTAAGGAACTGGGAGAGTACTCACTAAAGCACTCACTAGAAGTCAGCCATCAGGGTTACTATTATTGATAACGTGGTGGAGAGGAGTTGCTGACCTCTTTGTGACCCTCCTCTAGGCCCTCCGGGGCTGGGGTGAGGCGTCCCCAGTCCTCCCAGCAGAAGCAGCAGGGGCCACCGCCTCTCCGCCCCAGGCTCCAACACCGCGCCCTCCAACATCTCCCCTGGGCCGCATTCCGTGCGGGCCCACGTGGGTGGCCCACCCCACCCGCCCCTTCCTGCAGCCCACTCACCGGGCGCGGGGTCCCCCGAGCTCACGGAGCCCACGAAGCCCACGGCCCAAGCCAGGGCACCCCAGGGCAGTGGCCACAGTGGCCCTGGAGCCCCGGGACGCATGGCGGTGGCTGAGACGGCGGCGGCGGGCGGGCGGGCTGGCTGGCTCGCTGGCTGGCTGGCGGCTGGGAGGGCGGGCGGCACGAACGACTTCTCAGCGCGCAGCGGCCGGGCGCTCCCTATAAAGGTCCCTCGGGCTCGGGGCGGGGCAGGGCCGGGGCGGGGCGCTTGAATGGCAGGGCTGGAGGCAGTGTCTTCGCCACGGGATGTGTGCAGGGGCTGGGCCTGGCGACCCCGGGGTGGCAGCTGGGAGTGGGGGCGGGGTCCAATCTGGGAGCCAAAGAATTTATCCAGGGGGGTGCGGCCGGAGCCGGGAGACGAGGATCACACTGTATGACCCGTCTTAGGTGGAACTGGGGAGTGGGTACCTCCGGGTGTCGTGTGGGTCCCCAGTGGGTTGCTGGGATGAGGGCCCTCAGCTGTAGGGCTGTAAGCAGGTGGGTGACCCTGGGCAGTGTGTATTTGTGAGCGGTGTTTCCAGCCTCCAGCTCCCTGCCAATCCCCCACACCTCAGCCCGCCCACCCGGCCACCTGGCCACTGGAGCCAGTGGGCACAGCCCAGTATGAGCCAGTGGGTGCATTGCTGGGAGAGCTGGGCAGAGGCGAGACATCCGAGAAAAGACAGTCTTAACCACGTGGACAACGGCCATAATCATACAAGCCAACACACAGAGTGCCCACTGTGTGCCTGGCCTTTGGCCCTCACATCTCAGGAGGCCATGCTCGGGGCACCCAAACCTGTGCAGACACACCTTGGGCCCCACCAACAAGAATTTCTTGGTTTATGAGGACTGCTGAGGTCCCGGCGGCCTCCTCCCGGCGTCCTGGGGTTCCTGAGAAGCACTGCTTCCGGGTTAGGACGGTGGTGGCACATGGGGCCTAGGAGGTGTCTTGGGCAGCCGGGTACTTCCTGTTGCGGAGTTGACCCTTTTATCTTGGAGGCCTCCAGAATTGCCGGGGCCCCTTGACGTCCTCACAGCTCAGGGACTTGCTCGCTGATTCTAAGACATAGGGATCAACTCTTGGTGTTGGGAACTGTATGTGGTGCTCAGCGTCATGGGGACTAAGGCAGACACAACGCGGTCCTCATGGAACAAGGCTTGTAGGTGCCACATACGGGAAAACATAGACAAACAAAGCAATATATAATTGCGCAAAATGAAAAATGCATGCTATAAGGAAAATAATCTAAAAAGCCGCAGGGTGTCTCCTGGGGCTGCGTCCGCCTCCGCCCCCTCCTCAGGCGTGGAAACAGGTTCTGTGTGAGGTTCTGCGTCTGCATGCTTGAGACCTATCGCCACCCAGAGCCACGCCCACACCCTCTCCCCAGCCTCAGCAGCCCAGCCTGACCCATGTCCCCTGGACAGGCCAAGGACTGGGCTAGGCACCAAGGGAAGAGGCCTAGCTAGCTTCAGCCTGACCTTGGCCTCTGGTGGTCTCTGGGGATTCTCTGAGGGTCAGGGAACAAGGCAGGGATGAGACCCTGTGTTCTTACCAAGGGTGTTCAGGGGCTGCACAGTGTGACCTTGTCCAAGAACTGACCCTGCTGTGGCCTGGGCACCCTGGCCTGGGCTGTGCAAATCAAAGGGACATTGTCTGAGCTGGCGTGGGTTCGGGGCCTCTCCAAGGAAGCCAAGACCAGCTGCCAACACCCTCTGCTCCCCACCCCGGCATCCCTCCCAACCCAGAGGCCTCTGAAGACTGCAGCTCAAGTGCTGGGTAACCTCCACAAGTCAGTGACCCCTCTGGGGAAACCCCTGTCCCCGAGGCGCGAGTGCCAGCTTCATAGCCTCCTTCCAGCACCTGTTCTGTCCTTCTCCCTTTCTGAGCTCCCACGTGTCCCCCTGACCCAGCGCCCACCTCGTCCTGGTCTCCCAGCCTCCAGCCGTGCCCCCTGCCGCCCACTCCTGTTGGGAGACTCCTCCCTAGCTCAAACATCTGCGATGGCTCCCACTCACGCCCGCTCGCCTCCCCAGGCCTCTGTGGCCCTCGACCCCCTGGGTCAACAGGATCATTTGGGGGACTGGTGCTCTGGTGGAGGGCGCCCCGCCGGCTGGGGGGCCCTGAGCCAGCCCTCCCCCAGCCTGGGTGAGATCTTAGGGGGCTTTTCAGAGAAAAGCTGGCCTGAAGGGGAGCTGGAGATGGAAGTCACTGGAATGTTTTGGACCGTAAGGATGAGGAAGTGTAACTCGATGTGGGCAGCAGAATGCTTATCGCCAGAAATGGCCACGTCCTAACCGCTGGAGCCTGTGGAGCCCTTATGTGGCAACAGGGACTTTGTAGATGGGATTAATGGCACACACCTTAATGTGAGGGATTACCCTGTATTACCGAGTGGGCCCAATGTAATCACCAACCCAAGCCAGACCCACCAAAATGCTGACTCCTGGCAACCCACGCGTTAGGAGGAGAGCTGCCCTAGAGGGTGTTCTTGGCTTTCATCTTCATGGAGCGGATTGCCAGGCCTTCATTCCATGGTGCCACTGGGTGGGTCTGAACCGCCAACCCTTAGGTTAGTAGATAAGTGGAATCCGGTTGCACCACCCAGCGACTTCAGTGGGATCCACCAGGATCCTGAACTGTGGTCAGAGAGGTGTCCCCTGAGGGCTTGGCCGGCCCTGCTGGCTTTGAAGACACAGGAAGGGGCTGCCAGCCAAGGAATGCAGAGGCCTCTGGAAGCTGGAAAGACGAGAAACAGATTGTCCGGAAGGAACCAGTCCTGCAGACACCTTGGTTTTAGCCCATGAGACCCATTTTGGATTTCTGGCCTCCAGAACTGTCAGGGAACAAATGTGTGTTGTTTGAAGTCACTCCCCTTCGTGGTCACTTGATAGGGGTAGGGCAGCGCTTCCTGTGGGTCAGGCCCCCGAGAAGGGCGCTGGGCCGCTGCCCCCTCCACTGATGGCGGCTCTGCAGAGCAGCCGGCCGAGGAGATGGCCAGGTGCTGATTAGGCTGTGGTAAGCCTCCCCAGCAGGTGACCCTGAGGCCTGGAGGCAGAGAAAGGCAACCCGCCTGGCCGAAGCCCAGTCCACACTGCCGCCTGGCCAGCCCACACCACCTCAGGCAAGTGGCCTCCTCCCTGGGCGTTTCCTCATCTGGGGAACGGGGAGAAGCGCCATTTCTCTGTACTTGAGGCGGTGGTGCGGAATCCTCGCCTGTTGTTACTATTTCCCAATCCGTCCAGCGAGGCCTGAGCTTTGCTGTCCTCACGGGGCGCAACTCACAGCCGGCCGTGTCGGGGGCGGCGGCGCAGGGACCGTCTTCTTTCAGTCGTTCATTTCACCCCATTGTATCTTCACAGGCTGAGTCAATGAGGACTAGACGGTGTCCAGAAAAAGAAGACATGAGGACTCCGTGGCCCGACCCCAACTCATACGCCTCAACGGTGTCAGGGTCTCTGCAGGGGACGTTTCAGGTGGAAGGAGGCAGGAGACACGTATGGCACGTGCGCGCGCGGGAACCCAGAGGGCAGCTGGGACAGGCAGGAGAGGGCAGTGAGGCCACAGCTAGCTGGTGGCTCTGTGTCAGCGCCATTGGTCCCAGGTGGCCAACGCACAGCCAGGCACAGGCAAGAAAGCTTCGGGGGAACGCACTTGGGCGTTGCTACTGAGACCTCATCGCCAGAGAACGCCTAAAAGGCATGCGCACCTCGACCCGCGCGGAGGCGGCTGAAGTAGGAAGTAGGTCACAAATGGGGGTGGGGGCGTTGAGATGCCTGGGGGGCCTTTGCACTGTTCTTGCAACTTTTATGCAAGCTGGCAATTATTTAAGATTAAAAGATACCCCAAACCACCACGAGTTACCACCGCATACCTACTAAGATGGCTATCAGAAACACGTCAGATAACGGAGGCTCCGTGTGGACGGTCAGAACTGCCAGCACTCTCCTTGGCGGTGGGAAAGCAACATGGCGTGGCTGCGGCGGAAAATAATCCAGCGACTACAAGGTGGCGCAGCAATGCCACTGCTAGGTAGATGCCTGGAGGTTGGAAGGCGGATACTGTGCACCCGTGTCCGCTGCCACAGCCGGAAGCGGAAGATAACCCAAGTGCCCATCCGTACAGGGCCGGTACACACGAGGCGGTGCAGCCACGCAGTGGCATGGGGCTGGGCCCTGAAGAGGAGGGAAGAATTGATGCAGGCAACCCTGTGGATGAACCTTAACCTTGAACTCAGTTACGGGTAACCATGGACTCGGTTCCGACTCACAGCGCCCCTAGAGGACAGAGTGGAACTGCCCCATAGGGTTTCCAAGGCTGTCAGTCTTTATAGAAGCAAAGCCCAAAACAAACCCATTGCTGTGGAGTTGATGGGACTCAACGCCCCTAGAGGACAGAATGGAACTGCCCCATAGGGTTCCCAAGGCTGTTACAGAAGCCAGACACCAAAGGCCAAGCACTGAAGGGTGCCCTGTGTGGAACCTGTCCAGACAGGCAAATCCAGAGACAGAAAGTGGATTGGGGTGCCGGAGGGGGGTGATGGGGGAGTGACTGCTTGCAGGTCCTCATTTCCATGAGCCTCATGTCAACAAGATGGAATGGGGAGTTTTCACGGGAGACCTCAGGCAGGAAGTGGGGACCCTGGAGCCAGCCATGCTGTGCCCTGGTCCCTGCTCCCCAGTTTCCTCCCTGAGGGACCCGCAGCAGTCACGAATAAAGGGCCCTTTATCCACAATCCGTTGTTGGTGTGTTTTCCCCACAGCCCTACAAAGCACATGGCACGGCTGTGGTCTCCTGTCCCGTTCCCCCCACACACACACACCCCGTCTATTATTTTTTCAGAACAACATAGCATAGAATTCTGCATTTCCACCATTTCTGAGTGTTCAGTTCAGTGGAATTTAGTCACAAGGTTATGTGACCATCCCTTTAAAAAAACTACTCACTGTTGAGCTGATTTGGACTCACAGTGACCTTGTAGGACAGGGTAGGACAGCCCCATGGGTTTTCCAAGGCTGTAAGTCTTTAGGGAAGCAGACTGCCTCATCTTCCTTGCAGGAGCT